AGAAAGAAAGAAAGAAAGAGCAGTATCCAACAATTGTGCAAGTGCATCATTGTCATTGTCTATTCCCATAAGTCTTTGAAGAATATAACTGAAGGTCATATTTTGACACTTATCTTTTCTGTTTGCTCAGCATGTTTTGGTGTTATCCCTGCTCTAATAAGATTAATCCAAGTGCAGATTGCCACCATTGGGATGGGGGACGTTTATTAATCCAAGCAGGATTACACAAAATGGGTCACCCTACTCATCAAACATTCCCTGAGCTCATTTCTAGGAGCACGGCCATGCTATACATTCAGTTAGAGTGGAATATGTATTTGGATTTGTGTATTACTCATCAGTAAGAGGATTATGGGTATAGTTTTCTCAGTCTGGGGTTGCTGCCATAGATATTCATTAGGTGTCAGTTTGACCTTGCAATTACTGTAACCTTCCTGGCCTAATGTGTAATTTAAAAATCTATGTGTTTTAATTTGTTTGTATGTGTCACAAAGTCCTACATTTTTTTTCCAGAATGAAGCCAAAATCCATTTTACAAAACAAAATCTATATTTCATTGGGTGTGAACTATAAACTCACTCCAGTCTTTCTGATGCATTTACATCAGCACTACATCACGGGTAGCGAATACAAAGAAAAACGACCAACAGTGACAAACAGCCATGAATCTTGAGCCACCCAAACCAGAGATCAAATCAGCCACCCGTGTCACCGGTGGTCCTGCCACACCACGCAAAGGACCGCCCAAGTTCAAGCAGAGGCAGACTCGCCAGTTCAAGAGCAAGCCACCAAAGAAGGGTATCCAAGGGTAAGTTAGACAGTAAAGTAAAATCTTTATGATAATGGCTTTGTGATATTCCACACTTCAGTCATGCTTTATTATACTAAGAATAATTAAAACTGTGCACATTCAATAATTCGACAACATGACTGTTCTAAAAATATAATGTATTTTAAAATGATCTAATTTCATTTAACCAAATGTGTCTAATTCTATCTAATTTTATTTAATTATCTCATTCTTTTTTTATCGCATTTCTTTTATTTATATTTAATAGTTTCGGAGATGACATCCCTGGCATGGAAGGTTTAGGCACTGGTAAGTATAATCTGCATTTCTCCTCACATGTTTTGCCATCATGACAACATCACCTACCATCTATTCTAAGCTGTCCTTGTCTGAAATGATTAGTCTGATCAGCCTCTCATACTGAGCATCATCAATGATCCTATATGATATCTTATGACATTACTGTGATTAAACAGACCTGAATGCTAGCTGGCCATCAATCTGCTTAAGTTAACTCTTTGAATGATAGATGAACTCACGTTCCTGTGTTTCTACCTGCAGACATCACTGTCATCTGCCCCTGGGAGGCCTTCAACCATCTGGAGCTTCATGAGCTGGCTCAGTATGGTATCATCTGAGCCCGTTACCTTCCCATCATCCTCTGTGCATTGAAGACCCCTTCCAGTCATGTTCTCCAAACCACCTGCCTCCATCCTGGCCATCGACTCCAAGTGGACCATTCCAACTTTT